AGAACTTGACCTTTACTTGCAACTTGAAAGAGACATCTGTGCCTCTCCATAATCTGAACAGCTCTGTCAGTCAAGTATCCCTGAATCAGTAAACACACAGACAATGTTGTATAGAAAATAAAGATGAACTTTGGGACAGTGCAATACATATTGCACTGTAGCAGGCCAATGCTAAGCAACAAGAGAAAGACTACTTGAGACCAATGAAGTTAAAACAGAAGCGTTCTACTGGTTTGGAAACATGAAATATGTAAACATCCAGCAGTTACAAATAGAATACTTCAAGGTCATGTTCTATAGAAGCAGATCTAGAGGACTGTTTCTTGTGAAAATGACAAATGGGCCTGAGGTGCATGTGAAGATCAACAACAGCAAGTGATTTGTCTTAAACAGCAAACACTGTTTCTTCTCTTAATGTAACAAGGCCAATAAAAATCATTAAGTTACTATCCTTCAGATTTTTTTTTCCTTTAAACACCAAACCCAGAGACTGTCTTAACTCCCAAGTGAATACCAGCAAGGTGCAAGCTGCATAGGCTCCTTTGCAAACTAAGGCACGAATGTCAAGGAAGGTTTAATTACTGGACAATGATTTCAAAAGTTTTTAGTGAACCATTAGGAGCCCTTCACTAGTACGTGGAGAAACTGGATAAGAAAGGAGATGGAGCACATTCATAAGCAACGTGCTGTCTATTCCCTCTCCTACCTGTCTCTTAGTTGAGCAGGTTGAGTTTTGGAAAATAACCACAGTCTGAAGTTGCAGACAACAGCTTTAAAAACAGCCATCATGCTCCAAACACCAATGAAATTTCTAGGTTCTATCAGAATTTGACACAGAAAATGCCCTGTATAAGATCCAAATAGAAAACCAGGTGCTGTTTAACTGCTTTAAATGTATTTTTCTAAATAGATCCCGTGGAGACTATGAATTGAGGTAAAGAATGTATCCCTTCAGTGTACACCTGCTGCATTAGAATAATGATTTGACGTCTCTCCACTTGCAGGCTCCAGTCATCAGCACCAGAAGAATAATTCTTCTGAAAGCAGTCAGACCTGAGGCTTCTGGCATCTAGGTTATCCAAGGAACAGAAGCATTAAGACAAATGGTTGTTTTCTCTGAAAACAAAAATGCTACACTTTTCAGAGTTCTCATCTTGAAGTACATGAAGCTACTCCAACTACCATATAGCAAAATAATGTTTTCATCTCAGTTCTGAGCCTTAATGTGTTGGGTCAAAGAAAGGAGGAAAAAAAAAAAAAAGAGAAAATAATAATCACTTTGAACGTGTTCTCCATTGTGTTATTGCTTCAAGGAAGTACTTCTAGCAAAATTTAACAAAAAGCAATATAACCTCTTGGAATGTACAAATGCCACCTGACACTTTTGTAAATGGAGTAACCACGGTAGACACTGAAAGAGGAACAAGCTCACCCATAGTGCATCAGCACAGATGCCTGAAAAGGGTTAAATAGTTTCTAGATTAACAGAGGTTGGAATAAAGCTCTCATCTTCCTCTCCCTTCCCAGCTGCTTTCCTGATAAATGTTCCTTTGAAAGGCCTCATTATTAAAATACCATAAATTGACTGGGAAAAAAAAAAAAAAAAAAGATAATCAGAGTCCAAATCGATTGACATGCAAGGCTTTTCCACTCTGTCATGTCAGCTTAAGAGATAACTATACCCCATGCTGACAGAAGTCAGAGTCAACAGCTTGATATCCTTCTCCAGACCATGAAGGATTCCCAGCCTTCAGGGCTCTAAAAGTAACCTGGGGAAGGCAGCCTAATCCTAAATGCCTCCAGCTCATGAGGAGCACCAGATGCTTTCATCTTCTATTCTCCGTACAGATTCTTGCCAT